ACCTCAGGTCCTGACCCTGTCCACACTTCTGTTATGTCCAGGTGAAGGCGCTGGAGTTCAGTTTTTCCCAGAACCCTGATCCATCCAGAGAAGAAGTGGACCGACTGAGAACTGAGACCAAGATGACCAGGAGGGAGATCCACGGCTGGTTCTCTGACCGGAGGAAGAAGGTGGAGAAGCAGCAGCAGCAGCAGGAGAAGGAGGAGTACGAGAAAGGGGAGGAGCAGGAGGAGGACAGTTTGGGACAGCTGAAAGTCAACCCTATAAAAATCAACCTGAAGATGCTGAAGGTCACAAAGTCAGGTGGAAAGGTCAAGGCGGGGTCGTTGGAGAGCGCGGCTCAGCCTCAGCGGCCCAACAGCCCCAAAGCATCTGCCTCGGGCAACCAGAAACAAGCTCCGCCCACCATCCCTACGTCTCACACCTCCGGTTCTCCGAAAGCAACAAGCGTCAGAGGTAAGAAGACGGCTGAGCAGCTTCACCTGCTCAAACAAATCTACGCCCGAACCCAGTGGCCCAGCGCCGCCCAGTACGATCAGCTGATCTCATCGACGGGCCTCTCCAGACCTGAGGTGGTGCGATGGTTCGGCGACTGTCGCTACGTGCAGAAGAACGGCCAGCTGAAGTGGCTGGGGGAGTATCAGAGCTGGGCCCTGGGTGAGGATCTGCCCCCAGAGAAGGAACAAATTCTGCACACTCACCTCCAGAACCACGGCCGGCCGGACGACACTCAGGTACCCAGCCCTGTCTGTGTAGTCTTTGTCAGGCGTCTTTGTCAGTCGTATTTGTCAGGCGTCATCACTGTGGTGGTTTGATTGACAGCAGGAGAGTTCATCTGATCTGTCTTTGTGTTTGTTTACACGCTCAAACCTTCAACACTGTTGATTCAGCATAATTATGACCTCTGACCTCTGACCCCCACTGGGGCTCATGTTTGAAAACTAACCCTTTGACAGAAAAACCGATGCGTGGACGTGAGTAGTCGAAAAGTCGAAAGTGTAAATCTTTACCTCTGATTGGCTAATGCTTATGTTTCGTCATCGACCTGACCAATAGTTGCAAAATGGGCCGAAAGAGCATGTAGGCCACAAGGACACCCCCAGCCCCCCAGGCCCCCCAGCCTCACTCCAGCCTCAGAATGTTCTTAACGAGAGGTCCGATAAAATCGGTCGGATATTAGCATAATTATGTAATATTGGTAAGAATCGATATTGAAAACCCGATAACGCAATATCTGAGTTTCACCAAACGATGTGTGACCTAAAAGTAGTTCAATGCCCCGGCGACAGACCAATCAGATGCCTCCACTGACCTCAGTCTCTGAAGAACTTTGATTGAAACACAATTACTTTACATTACAGTACATTTAGATACCGACTCTCAGTTTGAGTCAGTCAACAATCATACCACAGTAAACAAACAAAATACATCAATAATAATAAACAGTAATAAATAGTAACGGTGAAGTTCTAGTCCCAGCAGGTCAGAGAGTAAGAAGAGGTTCATGTTAGATGTAAACAGACGGTGGCTTTAAATGAAAGTTATTATAACTATTGCAGTACTGCTTCTAACCTCCTGGATTGCTCTCATCCAGCATGATCAGATCATTATGAAGGATAATCTAGTCACTAGATGGCAGCACTGCAGCTCATTAACCTACATTGATAACCAGGTGATTGTCTGTCCTGACCAGGAGATCAGTAATATTTGAATTCTGTCCCCTAGGGGGCAGAAAATGATTGAGAAACACTGTTTTAACCCTTGGCCTTAGTGAGCAGGCAACACTTGACTTCACCACTGACCCCATGTATGGGTTGATGTCAGAAATGAAGTCCATAAGGGACTGGTACCTGTGGTGTCTTGAGGGTGAAGGTTCTGAGTCTTCTCTCTGGACCACGGTACCCGTGCAGTCGGTGTCTCTTCGTGAGTCAATAAAATACTGGATGTTTCTTCTCTGCAGTTACAGGATCTGGTCCGGTCCAGCGGCTTATCAGCAGAACTGGTCCAACATTGGTTCACGACCAAAGCAGCGCTGCTGCTGAGAGACACTAGTGGTGCAACAGCAGAACCATCGGTACCGACAGAACCCTCCTCTACTCCACCTTGCTCAGGAGGGGGCAGCACAGAGAAGGTGGAGTCTGACTGTGGCACAGCGGCCGAGTCCACTGAAGGTACTGGTCTGGTACCTGGTACCTGGTACCTGGTACCTGGTACCTGGTATATGATGACCTGCAGACTGCTTTCACACTGACTGACTGTTTGTTTTTGCAGCTGAGGCTGAAACTCACACACTGACCGTCTGTTCTGGTGCTGACCCGGCTCAAAGGGACGGGCGTGACCCCCACCCTGCTCCTGTTTAACCAGCCTCATTCTAAACAGCGTCTGTCAACATTGTCCAGCCCACCACTGCGCCCCCTACAGGAACTGACAGGAGGTGAGGAGGAGGAGAACAACAGTTGAAAAACTGAACAAAGAAGCAACAAAGTCATGTGACCCACTGTTGGTGAAGACCAGTGAAGACCAGGTGTCCCCCCCCCCCCCACCTTGTTTTTATGCAGTTTTCTTATGGAAATTCAACTGTAAATAAAACAAACTTTGATCAAAGTTCACAGTTCACTCTGATGTAGGATTTTTACAGTCAGTATTTACACAATAAATGAGAACGCAATAAATGTCCAGCTGTGTGTGTGTGTGTGTGTGTGTTTGATAAAAATAAATAGGGGAATAAAAAGGGGAATTGAACCAGGAAATAAATCAGTGGAGAACGTTGTTAAGAACCTGTTTGTCTGATGTTAATGAACTAAAACCAGTCCACTCCGTGGTCTCTGTGTCTCTAACAGTTTGACCATCAGATCTGTCCAGTGTTGAGCTGTGTGACCTTTGACCTTTGACCAGATTTTTGAAGGGATTCTCTGATAGAAACTGTGACTGTGAACAACCTGCTGGTTCTAAGGGAACATCAACTCATGGTCCATTGTTGGGACCATGTGGACACTGAGGGCGGGGGGGGAGGTCTGCAGAGTGTTTAATAAAGTACATTTCTCACTGAGTCTGTAGTAAAATCTTCTCTTATTATTATTAAAATCGTTCCGTCAGTCGGAGATTTTCACCTGATTCAGATCCGCCCAGAAACACTTGCACTGTCACGCAACCACCAGCAGGTGTCACTAGAGGATTTGAGGCTTGTGCGTTTGAAATCGGTGTGAACGTCGCAATTTCTCATTGGCTGCTGGCGAGCGGGGTCAAGAAGCACGGCGCGTGCGCAGAGTCCCTCGCACGGATGAAATCTGTCAGCTCAGAGAACCGTCCGTTCTTCCCTTCGTTAGTCTTTCTTCTTCAGTTACAGCCACAGACCGTCAGTCGACTCGACGATTCTTCACATTCAGGCTGAGACTTTTGTGAGTGCGGTCAAAAAACTCCAACAATGACGAGCAGCTCAAAGCGGAAAGAAGAAAGTCTCCTGCAGAACGGAGGAGTGAAAGTGTCCACATGGAGTAAAGCCTTCAGTAGTAATGCTGTGTGGGAAGAGAAGGTCAGATATTTGGTCACTTTTTAAAACGTCTGTACTGTATATGTCGTTGTGTTTAGCTTCGTTTGTGTTTACGGACAGCAGCTCCTGAAGGCTGAGACACGGACACGGTTAAGCTCATTATGTCGCCACTAGTGGGACATATACTGGCAGCAGTCACCAGTGGGAGCAGGGACTAGTTTAACACTAGTAACTGGACGGAACCTTTGAACCTGTGCTCAGGTCTGACGTCACTGTTGTCCTGTTATTCAACACTAACTAGTCATATTTTAGCTAGTCAACTAAAAGAACACCAATATATACAATACATACACGTCATATATACAATGTAAACATTGTAGCCACTAAGAATGTGGCTTATGAACACGTGACAGTGGAGAGGCCGTTTGATTTAAACCTTTAAGTATTACTGAATGTAATTATTTGAGGTTTATTATAATATATACACGACATTGTACAATTAGCCTTGGATATCATGACATAATGAGTATGTTATTATATGTTACATCAATTCTGTCCTTTACTTACTCCTAAAGGACATTTAAAATAACTTGACTGGCCAGATCTGGCCCGTTGGCCTTAGGTTTGACACACATGGTTTTGGAAAAAACCCAAAACACGTCAGTGTCATAATCCCAGGCGTTGAACACAGTCATTCCTGCAGCCCAGAAATTCTAACCAGTTTCTTTTCTTCTTTGTTTTTACAGGACGAGTTTTTAGACGTGATTTACTGGCTGCGACAAATTATTGCAGTGATCCTTGGCGTGATCTGGGGAGTTGCACCATTGAAAGGATTTCTGGGAATAGCCATGTAAGTAATGCTGCTCCTGTAACACCTGCTCCTCATCCATGAGAAAGAACTGGCATTGTTTTTAAAAAATTTAAAAATTTAAATATAGTTAGAAAAAGGTTTTTATTTAGAAAAATAACAAAAACTGTTAGTTTGTTAGCTCTGAGGCTAAATGGTTCTGTTGTGCAGTAAAAAAGAGCAAGGCCAATTGATCCACATGGAGTAAAGCCTTCAGTAGTAATGCTGTGTGGGAAGAGAAGGTCAGATATTTGGTCACTTTTTAAAACGTCTGTACTGTATATGTCGTTGTGTTTAGCTTCGTTTGTGTTTACGGACAGCAGCTCCTGAAGGCTGAGACACGGACACGGTTAAGCTCATTATGTCGCCACTAGTGGGACATATACTGGCAGCAGTCACCAGTGGGAGCAGGGACTAGTTTAACACTAGTAACTGGACGGAACCTTTGAACCTGTGCTCAGGTCTGACGTCACTGTTGTCCTGTTATTCAACACTAACTAGTCATATTTTAGCTAGTCAACTAAAAGAACACCAATATATACAATACATACACGTCATATATACAATGTAAACATTGTAGCCACTAAGAATGTGGCTTATGAACACGTGACAGTGGAGAGGCCGTTTGATTTAAACCTTTAAGTATTACTGAATGTAATTATTTGAGGTTTATTATAATATATACACGACATTGTACAATTAGCCTTGGATATCATGACATAATGAGTATGTTATTATATGTTACATCAATTCTGTCCTTTACTTACTCCTAAAGGACATTTAAAATAACTTGACTGGCCAGATCTGGCCCGTTGGCCTTAGGTTTGACACACATGGTTTTGGAAAAAACCCAAAACACGTCAGTGTCATAATCCCAGGCGTTGAACACAGTCATTCCTGCAGCCCAGAAATTCTAACCAGTTTCTTTTCTTCTTTGTTTTTACAGGACGAGTTTTTAGACGTGATTTACTGGCTGCGACAAATTATTGCAGTGATCCTTGGCGTGATCTGGGGAGTTGCACCATTGAAAGGATTTCTGGGAATAGCCATGTAAGTAATGCTGCTCCTGTAACACCTGCTCCTCATCCATGAGAAAGAACTGGCATTGTTTTTAAAAAAATTAAAAATTTAAATATAGTTAGAAAAAGGTTTTTATTTAGAAAAATAACAAAAACTGTTAGTTTGTTAGCTCTGAGGCTAAATGGTTCTGTTGTGCAGTAAAAAAGAGCAAGGCCAATTGACTCGCCCATGTGTACGTGTGCTAGACTGGGGGGGACTAGACTGGGGGACTAGACTGGGGGACTAGACTGGGGGGACTAGACTGGGGGGACTAGACTGGGGGGCGACTAGACACGTGTCAAACTGTCCTTCATGATAAATGAACATGTAATTATTTGTTGTTGTATTTTGTCTCAGCTTCTGCATCATCAACGCCGGCGTCCTTTACGTCTACTTCAGCAGCTTCCAGCAGGTTGATGAGGAGGAGTACGGTGGAACATGGGAACTCACCAAAGAAGGCTTCATGACGTCGTTTGCTCTGTTTCTGGTGAGTTGTTTAATAAACATCTGTAACAGTTGACACGGTGACAACAATATACCAGGAGGAGACAACCATCAAACGTCTCTAGTGGACACTGGTGTCTCACTCCCATTACATTTCATTTCGTTCTGACCGACTCAGCAGAATCCTGGAGAGTTCATCTACGGTTCCTATTTTCTCTGAATTCACAGGTGACCGTTCTTTCCGTTCTCTCCGTTCTCTCCGTCTGATTTGTCCTGTTCTCTGTGTCCAGGTCGTGTGGATAATCTTTTACACTGCTCTACATTTTGACTGAGGAACGTCAGTGGGACAATGAGGACAAACAATTGTGTTCACAGGAAATCTTCAAGTTCAGGATGGTTGAGGAAGAGCGACTGTGATCGTCGCACTCAGATATTAACCGTCTCTTCATTTGTCCACGCCCCAGGACTTTTGCTCCCGTTCCATGTTCTCCCTCACTTCTCAGTGCTCAACTCCGACGGTCACTTTTCTCCGGATCGCTAAACTGTTAGACCTTCAGAGGTCAGAGGTCACATCACAGGCAGCTGTTCATGAAGCTGCCCCATATGAGAGACAGCAAACACAGATATCCCATAATACTTCAGTGTCTTGGTCCGGTCCGGTCCAGGGGTTTGAGGTGTTTTTGTTTGTTGTCAGAAGAAAATTGTGTCCTGTGTTCCTCTCTGTTCATGCTTTTAGTGCAGGAAGAACAGGAGGTAGTTCTTTTCACACACACATACATGTTTCTCTGCTCTGGGTTGATGTGCAGCATTGGTGGCTAACGCTAATGCTGTATTAGCAGTGTTATGCAGTGGAGTCACCCGCCCCCTCCTGGCCAGAAATGTCATGACCTTAGCCATGAGTCTAGAAATAAACTAATAAATGACTTCCCACATCGAAGATATTACTTTTTTAAACTTCATCTTCTCTGTCAAACTTCATGACGTGGGTCAGCTGACCTGCTTTTACGTGGACTTGTTTTGTTTTTGACATGCTCCATGTAACATTTCTCAGTATTTTCTAGTAAATGACTATTTAAAAATAAAGTTCTCGGACAGTTTTTGTGTTGATACCGTCACATCAGTTACACCCGTGTGCACGTGTGCGTCTGGATCAAAATAAATCCACATCCGTACCATTAGTGGAGCAGTTCATTTCCCATCCTGCAGCGCTGTTGGATGGAACACAAGTGTGACGTAGAGGCCAAGATGGCGGCTCCCCTCAGCAACATGAAATTTTGGAAGCCGGGTAAGTGAACAGGATTAAAACAGTGTCTGCGATTGTTGTTCGGCTCGTATGAACGGCTGCAGTGATTGTGACACAGTCAGCGGTGAGTCACCGTGTCTCTGACCGCGGCCTCCGTCACTGCAGCTGCTGCGGTGAACACGCAGCTAAGCTAACGTTAGCTCTGCGTTCGCAGCGGATGAACGCAGTTTCCACTGGTCTGTACTATTACCAAAAAAAAAAAAATCACATTAAATGGTCAGTGATTGCTGCTAAATAATCCACCAGCTCCTCGTCGATTAACCAGTCGAATAAGAAAGCGTAGTGTTTGTGAAAGTGAGTGACGCAGAGGCAGTGACGGTGCACCAGGCAGAGCCGCCGGTCCGAACAGAGGTGAAGAAGGAGGTGGAGGCAGAGTGGACCTGATGGAGACGAGTGTCGGTGGTGAGGTGTGACTGAAGGAGACCAAGTCCGGACAGTAGTGGGTGTAGGAGCCTGAAATATATTTGGACCATAGGTGAACACACCAAGTGTTAAGTGTATGTTTGGTTTATCACATTTAAAACGTGTGTTGTTGTCGGAGTGTGTCCACCTGGCCTTTGTATATTTTGGCCTTTGCGACTGAGAACAACTATACAAGTACTGAAAAACGTATACGTTTAATTGCTTTTACTTTGAAAGGACAGATGTGGATGTGGTTCTCCTGCACAAACATGCAGCGTGGAATGGAGCCGCCGTGTTTTGACCTCTCGCTTGATATATATCTCTATTCCCTTTCTCTTTTTTTTTTTTTTGACAACGGTCTGTGCAGTTGTTTGTGACGTTAAGGTTAACTGGACGTGGAGTTTTATTTTTAAAAACGAAGTGACAAAGAGGAAAGCTTGATTGATTGGACACCACAGTGGGAGTCAGACCAGTACCACTGAAGGATGTTTTATTTTGAAAAACAGATTCTCTCTGTCCACGTCTCCACTTCCTTCAGTAAACTTCTCCTCCTCTCCTTCACTGTCACCTAGGAGCTGAGGCTCCAGGGATCTCAGAGGAGCGGGAGTTGAACACGGAGACCACCGGCTCCCCCATCATCTTCAACCCTCACACCACACTCTCCATAGAGAAGCAGCGGCAGAAACTTCCTGTCTTCAAGGTTTCACACACTCTCTCGTGTCTTTTCATACTGACATCAGTCTCGCTGTAGGACAGTGGACGACGCTGCTGTACTGTGTGGATGAGTTGATGATTTGCTCTTGTTGTTGTTGTTGTTGTTGTTTATCATCCAGCACAGGAATAACATCCTGTTCCTGTTGGAGAGTTTTCAGACGGTCATCATAGTTGGAGAGACAGGATGTGGCAAAACCACACAGATACCCCAGGTCAGCGTCGGTCGTCTTCAAGTGCGCTCCTGTTCATATCCTTCAACTACAGACCAAAATAGATGTCTGTAGTTGTTGCTGTGATTGACAGGCCTTTGATCTTTATTGGGCTCAAACTCTTTGATGCTCACAGTTTGGACCACATCAGAGTGTGACACTGTGATGATCAGAAATCACTGGTGTACTTTGTTGATCATTCTTTCTCTCTCACACACACACACACACACACACACTCTGACAGCGCTCTGTTGACTCCTCAGTACCTTCTAGAAGCGGGCTGGGCGGCTGATGGGAAGGTGATTGGAGTGACACAGCCTCGACGTGTGGCTGCCATCACCGTAAGACAACAGTCGGAACATTTGATTTTCAGAGTGGCGTCTCCTTCACTCCTGATTCTCACGCTCTCCCACCTCCCTGCTGACAGGTGGCTAACCGTGTGGCTGAGGAGCGAGGAGCCCTTCTGGGCCACGAGGTGGGCTACACCATTCGATTTGACGACCGCTCCGACCTTCATTCCACCAGGATCAAGGTCTCCTAACCTGAGATGTTGGTGTGTTCCTCAGTCTGACTGTTCTCTCCTGTGTGTAACAGTGTTGTGTGTCGGCAGTTTCTTACAGATGGAATGTTGGTGCGTGAGATGATGGCTGACCCCCTGCTGAGAAAATACAGGCAGGTTCACGTCACATGACCGAAACGTTCACAACTCATATTTGGAAGTGATTGTTGCTGGAATCTGTTTTGGACGAATGAGTGGCCAGTGTCGCTGACCGTCAGTGTAGGTGACCGTCAGTGTCGCTGACCGTCGGGGCGGCTGGCG